CCGGCCCCGCGTGACTCGGCGTGACGAGGGGGATTCGGCGTCGGGGTCGGCAGGGGACGGGCCGTTCCGCCGACTCGCCCCACTCCCCGCGGCACCTTCCCGTGTCACGTGGGGCGGCCTTGGCAGCATCAGAGCGGGTGTCCCAAGTACTGACCCCCAGAAGGAGGGGCCTCCCCCCCGGGCCCCTCCATGCGAGCCCACTGTGCGCTGCGCACGTGCTTTCCCACGGGCCCGTCACGCGTTCCGTCCTCACGAAGACGCCGGGAAGCAGCTGCTGCTGCCCGAGCCCGCTCACCTCGCTGTCCACGACCCCGTTCCGGTCCCGGTGCGGAGACTCGTAGGCGTCCATCTGCTGCTTGGACACCTTGGCGAGCTTCTCGGCCAGCTCCCTCCAGCGCTGTGCCACCTCGACGGCCGTGGTCAGCAGCACGAAGTCCTGGAGGAGTCTGACCACCAGGCCCTGGCAGTCCATCTTCAGTAAGGCCTGGGGGCGGGGAGGGCAGAGCGTGAGGCAGAGCGCGGGGCGGACGCAGAGGCCGGCGATGGAAGCCTGGACATGCCCCCTGGAGCCCAGCACCGTGACTCCGAGGACACACGATGAGCATGACCTGCAGGCGGTCAGGGCTCAGCAGCGTCCTCCCTCCACACCATGTCCACCGGGCACCTCGGACTGTGAGAGTTATTTGCAAAGGGGTCTCTGCAGATGTAACTGGTTAAACTGAGGTCACATGAGACTGAGGGGCTCCTCGTGCGGTGACAGGTGTCCTTACAAGGAGAGAGACAGAGACAGAGGGCGCAAGTCCACAGAAGGACAGAGGCCGCGGTGTGGCGACGCAGCCACGTCCCCAGAGCAACCAGTTTTACAGACGCTGGAGGCTCGCATGGCTTGCCCGGGGTCCCGCAGCTCGAGGGGACAGAGGTGGAGAGAGATCCAGAGCCGACCCTTCCCGTCCCGTGGGCACCATGTGACATCGAGAACAGAACCGAACAGAGCAACGGTCTGGATTATGTTTCGTTTCCACTTTGTGTGTTTTAGAACGTGATGCTGCAAGTTGAATTTTGACGTGTTCAAGGAAAATGGTTTAAAAAACGTAAATGCTCATTAGCTTTGAACTTTGGGAGACACAGAGTGTACACATATGTGCTTATGTGCACGGGGCGGTGGGAAGAGTAAGAAATTGGCAGAATTTCCGATTTAAATCCTTTTGGGGTGGTGCGGTTTAAGCCCAGACACAGGGCAGGGTGCCCCCCGGCCACGCTTGCTGTCCTGAGGACGTGCCGGCTGACCACAGGGCTCGCCAGCCCGCCCCTCGGTGTCCCGCTCAGCTCCTGCTCACAGCCTGCAGCGTGCACGAAGCGGCCTGGCTCGGAGGCGGCCTCGCTGTCTCACAGAGCACATCGGTCGCCTGCTTCCGGTCCACGCCACCCCTGGCAGGAGTGACCAGAGTCCCCGGGGACTCTGGAGACACAAAGGTCCTGAGAGACGCAAACTGTTCTCTCTGTCTACCTGTCCACTGCTGGACACGGCCGCAATGACTGTGCCCAGGCAGCGCGTCCACGGAGCACAGGGGCTGCGTGTGTACACACTCCAGCGACAGCGCCTCACACCTGCAGGACTTTATAAATAATTTCCTGCCATTCTCAGGCCTTGCTCTCCCTGGAGTGACACTCACTGCTGTGCAGCCAATGGACGTCGTCTCCAATGCCTGCAGCGGGACCACAAGTTCCAGAATATTGTCATGGAACAAACGCGGACGGGCTCGCAGAGACGCAGGGACAAGGGTGTGCCCGGTGTCCGGTGGTCACGCAGAAGCCGCACGCCCACCCACAGCACCTCCCCACGCGGAGGGCCGTGGGCCTGCACGAAGCCGCCTTTGCACACGCTCCACTGGGAGAGGCGCAGCGCGGGACGGCGCGGTGGCAGGTCCCAGAACACCGCGTAAGACCTGCAGCACACACTGTGCCGCCGCGCCCTCTGCGAGACCCCTGCTTTCTGCTGCTGCTCTCTACGACGCCAGAGACGCCTGCGAGCTCCGGAGGTGGCGTGGACGGGCAAAGGGCGTGGAGACAGAGCCTGGGACCGATGCCGCAGGGCGGGTCCGACCGACCGCGGAGGTGCCCCCCCCGCCCCCCGCTATGGACTGCCAGGTCTGAAATCAGATAAACGCCCTGCGGGGCTATGCACAAGCTTGCGAGGGGGCCCCCAACCTGGCGGCCCTGCAGTGTGACCAGCACCCCTCACCTCTGACCTCTGCCAAACACGAACTGCCCGCTCATTGTCTTAACCAGAGTAAATCCAGGGATGAGTATGAAAATCAGGTCCGGGGCGTCCTGGCATTCTGAAGGAACGACACTCAGAGTGGGGACCGCACTGACTGCCACCTGAGTGGCTCAGAGACTGGGAAGTGGCAAGGAGCAGGGACACAGCTGGACCCCTAAGGAGAAAGACCCACCTGACTCCCCTGCACTCCCCCTCAGTGCCCGTGGAATAACGCACAAGCGTTACCTGGCCCAGGTGGCTCCGTGCCACCCTCCCATCGCCCCATGAGCCATTATCACATGTCCCCAAGCCCTTGAATTCACCCCAGCCGCCACCCTCTCCAAGCCCCTGACCTGCCGGCCCCTCTCCCCTGAGTGGGATCCTGCGCCCCGCTCCCCCGCCTCCAGCCAGCCCCGTGTGCCTTCCCTGGTCCGCCCACACCGATAAAGGGCCTTTTCTTCGGAGCCCACTGCGAGTCTGTCCTGCGCTCCTGCCACTCTGCCCTCCGAGTCCGTAAGCGAGAGGCCCTCAGCGCCCGGCACCGCCCCGAAGCACGCGGCAGGCACGAGGGGACGTTCGGTGAGTGCCGAGTGCAGACGCCCACTCCTGCCATCCGGGGCGGTCCTCCTGGCTCCGTCAGGAGCTGCGGCCACACACCTGCCCCTCAGCTAGTCCTGTCCCGCCTTTGACGAGAGAAGCTGACTTCAAAAGCTCTTCAAAGGGTGGTGCCCATTCCAACGTCTCCCAACCCGCCCACCAGCACAGAGACCCCTGGGCGTCTGTCCAACGCCCTCTGGGGCCCAGGGGCTGCGTCCATCCTGCTGCTTCCCTTGGGGCCGGCCCAGCACCGCCCCTCGCCCACCATCGATATGGTCTGGGGGGGTGTCATTGGTGTGGCATGGCCACCCTCTGTCACAGGTATGACTTCTCCTGGACAGCTCGGTGGGCCGGGGACAGAGGCTCATTCTCTGAGGGCAGTCACGAACCATGTGCGTGAGAGAGGGCAGGCAGAGCCCTCCGGACGCCCACAGGGTGACACAGACGCCTCCCGGACGAGCTCTGACGTGGGGAACTTGCACCGAAACCACAGAGAGAGGGAATGGGATGGAGGAACAGCCTGAGCGCGTGGGGCAGAGTCCCACAGGTGCCAGCGTCCTTTCTCTCGTGGACTCTGCTCAGCCGGGGCGAGAACGAGACCCAGGAATGCGGGGGAGCAGGGCCATTTCGAATTCCAGAAAGTACCGGGAAAACGATCGTGAACGACGAGGGGCAGTGACCCAGCGGCACAGGCGGCGTCACGGAGAGTCGAGGGAAGGTCTGAGCAGGTCCG